GTGTGAACAGCCAGCTAGTATCACAGAGCACTACAGTTAGCTGTCGCTCGGTTGTGGGGATCTGTAAAAGTTTCATTTGTCTGTTTGTGTGTTAACGTGTAGACATTTAATGGTGTATGTAAAGAATGTTGGCTGTGGTTATATCAAGCAGAGCAAGAAGGAACAGATAACTGTAACATCCTCGTTGATAACATGCTGACAGTTGGAATGTTTGACATGGTGTATGACTTCCATGGAAATCTGTTGTTGAGTTGTGCAGAAAACATGGTCTGATATCACTCAGTGTTATGCGAAGTTTCTCGCTCAAGTTTACCACTAGGGATATATACCATGTTGAGAAGGTAAGTTGGTACCATCGAAACAAATACACATTAGTCACGATTATTGACTTTAAAACATTCGTTGAAGTTGTGAAATATCGGCGTTCTTGTTTAGTTTTAGTAAAATAAATTTGGGAAACAGAAATTAGGAATGTTTGTGATAGAGGTGTCAAATTGTTTACTTTTTTGTTAGTTGTCTGGCAAATGTTCTGTTGTGTGGAGAAGATATCCAGGTAACATTCCTGTGTCTTGTTGGCAATGTGAAAACGATTGTTTTGATCCAGAACCTGAACGGCCTCAGTGAAACAATGTGGTGTTGTCACAGCCTGGTCTGTTTACTTGCCATACGCTTCCTGAGGTGAACATGGTGAATAGACGTTGAAGCCATCCCTGATTTCAATGAATTCATTTCTTGTATACCTATACTTTTACTAAGTAGATATATTTTATGATAACGACTTCTTTATTTACTGTAAAGGCGACATTTCTGTATAGATCGTTATACAGTTGTCACGCAACCTACTTTGTCATCCGTCAACTTCTAAGCAATTTATACTTTTACTGCTATAAGAAAATCATTAAAAAAAACCAAGAAAATGATATTGAACGTTCCTGATTGTACTTTAAATTCCCCAATAATATTGTTAGTTTCCCTTCCACATATCTCACAGTGATCAGATATCTTTCAGCATCTTCAGTAACAAGTTCTAATGAACTTTTTTCAAAGCAATTTAGGGCTTAGAAAGTCCAGTCAAACATATCCAGGCAAGATTCCAAAATAACCCCTGACTGTTTAAGGATCAAGCCCTCTGATTAAATAAACTATGCGCCACTGCCGGCAATGGTGAGAGAATAATGTACTCCCTCCATAGTCGTCTCTCAGCCCATTCTGTACAAACAAATGCATTCAATCACATGATAGGATTTAATGGTCTGTATTATTCATATTTTAATCGAGATAAATCTCACAAGCATTACTGACACAAACTGAGAAACCCCGGGAGGACATCTGTTGTTGCTAGTCAAATAGAAACGGAACCTCGGACCACATTAACTCATCTCGAAGTCAACAGGGTTGTATGGAGGCAGTGTTTGTATTAAAAGGCCGTGTTTTAGGGGACAGGTTGGCCCCGAGGTGGGGACTCGGGAGGTATGGCGATTGATATTATCTCGGAAAGTGCAAGTCAAAATATTGTGATTATATCTCAGGTGATCTTAACACAGGAAGAGATTCGATCAGAGGCTTAGTAAAAAATGTTGCCTGTTGACTGTTAATATGCTTTTCCATGTTGACGACCGAGATAAGAGATTTTGTATAGATTAACACAGACCTGGGGGTCGTGTTTGGTTGGACTCAATGGCTACCTGTCATACCTGTACGAGATAGGTATTACCCCCTGTGTACCTGTAGGGCGTGGCACCTGGAACATCTATCTCATACAGGTGCCCTACCCTGAGTGTATCAGAATTACACCTTTTATTAATCAGAGCTCCAGATAAGCTGCATATCTGCATAAAATATGCATCAGAAATGCAGAAATACACAGTAAAATAAAATCCAAGCGTATCAAATACGCAACGAACATTACAGATACGCTACAAAAATAAAACTTGTGCGTATCATCAAAATATTGTGAAGTAACCCTGCATATTCGATTAGCAAATCAGCAACTTAAATTTGAAATTATAAACGGGCATTCCGTCAACCTTGCCAAACTCCACGATGACAGTTACATCATGATCATTTGCCATCACACTTTCTTGTGGAAGTATCGTGGTATTTTTGAGTCCTATAAAGCTCTCAAATCCACACGACACCAGTTTGCAGGGACTAGATGAATAGTGTTTTTAAATATTAACTTAAATATCTACATGTGTAAAAACTAGTGGGTAACAGAAATTTGAATACCCAGATAGAATTACTGATACCCAATGATTTTAAAATGCATGGGTAAAATACCCACAACACCAAATGCTTATCTGGAGCTCTGTTAATGATTTGTAACGGCTTTTGTTTTGACAGTGATTTTCAGATTAGGAACAGATTACTATATTTAGCTGCTGTGTTATCTCTCTTGCTTGACAATATCAATAAGAGTATGTTTAATCACAGTAAATTACCTCTACCCTGTACTATGTACAAGGAAAAACGTCCCGTAATCTTCTCTATGAGTTATTACTGAGCTGTGCTATTCCATCAGCTGATATCAACACATGCCAATCTGAAAAAAGGATTCATGTAAATGTTGTCCTTTGTGATAGATATGACCCTCAGTTTTGGGGGAGAACAATCTTCAAAACAAATATTACATTTTTAGCTTAATCTAAGAAAACATTAAAACATTTTTTATTTTAAACCTATTACTAAATCAGTTTCTTGCTCCTGTAGTTCTCTCCACTGAATTACCTATAGTAAAATGTTCATGACTATTTCTAGATACTTACTATTTCTAGAAGAAACTGATTTGGAAATAGATTATATTTAAATAATGGTTGTAGTGCCTACAAGTTAAGCCAAAAATGTAATATTTGTTTTCAAGATTGTTCTCTCTTCCCATCCCCCCCCCCCCCCCCCCCCCTGAGGATGATAGATACATAGACAGATATTATGTGCACAGTTACATAAAAAAGAAGAGTAATAGTCAAAAGGTTATTAGTGAAGGATTTAGGGGGTCCCTTGATTCAAATAATATATCAGAAAATCTTAAGAAGCACCCAAAATTTCTATCATTGATGTGGGATGTGGTGGCATGGCATCAGGCATTTTCCCTTGATTCTGATAGTCACCTGTCTGTAGCAATCTCTCTCACACACTGTGAACTTTGATTCCACCAGCTCTGCTAGCCCTGATAACAGTTGTCCACTACCTTAATTAACGCATCCCTGGTCAATCAGAGCCAGTTCCTGTATAGGGCCATAAAGCACCACACTGACCAGCCATATCCAACAGTAACCCAGGCAATAACAGAGTCGTAAAGCCCACCGCCCCTGCGACAGCATGTGGTCTTGGTTTGAATGTAAGTGTTTCTCTCAAGTCTAATAAGCAGCTAAATAATTCCACATGTGGCTATAGGTTTTAATCATATATATAATTCAGCATTCAGAAGTTAAGGTCATTCTAACTAGAAGTTTGAGAAGACACAGCCACAGACTTGGTGCCTCAGACAGTTCAATCTCTGGGTTTGCTCTGTGAAGGGTCCATATTTAACTCAGATTTATAATCACTTCCTTTGATATTGGAACCATTCGTTATTTGATATGGAATGATTTTCCTGAGGGTTGTTCCTATTATCTTGTAGAGTGCTTTAGATTCACCGGGTTGTAGAGCAGTATTTGAGCACCCAGGTGTGCGCTGAATGATTGTATTGAGTTACTAACGGAGTAATCATATCCCGGTATTGTTACAGCAGGTATTGTCAAAACAAGGCACTCTAAAGGCTTCTGTTGTTTGGTCAAGGATCAACTTGCTGATTGTTTTTTCAACAATTAGTGTTGTCATTAAGTCCCCAAAAGGTGTGACTATGGCACAAGTTGTCCGCCGCCTGTCCCTCCAGTTTAGGTATTCCAGCATGGTAAGATGTCTTTTGCAATATTGTCAGACATTGCTCTTTTCTAACTTCTTATTGTGATTTGGGGACAAATCAGAGGGATTGTCAACTCTGTCATCACATTCGTTTCAGTTGAGATAATAGTCATCCCTCACCTGAAGCAAGTTCATATTTTATATCTTTATCATATATGATCGTTGTTCATAGGGGCCGTTGTGGAGTGGGATACAGTTGGTTAGAATTTACTGTCGCACCAGCATTATTTCAGCTAAATAGTGACGAGGAGAAACAAGTCACTTGCTGTTTTAGATATTGGTTGACGTATAATACGATTATTACAGTAAGTGCATAGATTTGAAGCCATGTGAGGACTGCCAACTTCGTGTTCTTGGTTAAGCTTGCAACACTGAAAAAGAACTTCTGCACTTCTGCCTTTTGGCCATTTATTATATGACATTGTTAATTTCTGGACTGGCAGAGATAAGAATATGTTGGCTTGGTCTTATTGTTCCATGTGTTTGTCTTCATTTTTCAATCTCTGTGTCTTAACTTATTTTGTTTTTTTAGTATTATGCCCCATGGATTGTAGGATGACATTTGCTAAGATAGTTTCTGAAGAGTGTCCATGTTATCAGCTGGAGCTGTCACCTGTTGCTATGAACTTGATAAATGTGAAGAGGACCTTTCCAATATTATAATATGTAATATAATATTGCATGTTAGCATGGACTGTTCTCTTAGCACATTACATTAAACATGTGGAAGATTATGACCAGACATTTTTTGTTGTTAAATTTGCCTAAACTATTTTGATTACCGGTATAGTTTGATAACCTGTCACCTAAAGTTCACACAGAACGTTGTGTCGTAGCCTCAACAACATTGTAAACAACCTCTCAGCTGATAACTTGGATATTCATGAATGCATTATTTGATTGACACCTGATTTCCCATCAGTCACGGTACTGATTGCAGTGATTTGACTTCCTCCTTGCGTGAACTTCAGGTTCACTGTCACCACGATCCGTCCTCCACGACACAGTAGGCCAATATGTCTAAATACAGTCTTGACTTGGCCCACCCTGCCATGGCTCATTCCGTGTTTTACCTGGATTTACCGATTCCTTTTCAGAGAGAGAAGGAGAGAACTGACGTAGCAGCTTTGCAGAAGTGGACAAAGACGGGGTCATTCAGACGAAATCGAGGAATGAAAATTCAAAATCCACTCAGCCACTCGCACGAGGTAAACTTTTCTACCTACCATTTATATTGTTATGCCTACTTATAATGTTAAACATTTACCAGATAAATATACCCCCTAGCATTTGAGGGAAGCTTTAATCTGAGCACCATAGATACTCACTGTCAAATGTCCAAGTTTGATGAACCCAAACCAATCTCTACATCAATGCACGGAACTTAAACATCATGATTCATCGTGACTAGAAGGGCTACGTCAGAGATCTTTTTAATAACGCTTATTTTACACTTATGACGGTGTTTAGCTGTCAGTGTAAATAATTGCATGGTTGAGTCAGAACATGACCGATGGTTGTGGATGGTAAGTTTTTTAAGTGTTCACAGGATCCTTAACACGCCTTCGATCCAAACTTGTACAGATACTCACATTTGGGAACAACACTATTTAAAGTGAAATGATATGTTTGTCAGCCAGAGCAAACATGACCTGCCAAGCCACATCTATTAATACCTGTATGTGACATGCGGTGCAAGGCAAACACCACATACATATAATTAAGCTCTCTGAACTTAACTTTGCAAAGTATTTAACAAACAGCTTGATTTGTTTAAACATAAACTCATCTGAGATTAATGTGTTTGATTTCACACCTTCTGAAATAAATCTTGAGGACAATTAGCAAGACTCCAAATACCTTTGAAGATGTGACAATGTTATATATACAACCATGTTCCTAATGGTTGCCTTCACTGATGTTTGATCTGACATCATAGTCCTTTGTCTCAATCACTGATCAAAGGGCCACACCCATGAAGGTCGCAGTGACCCTTCCTAGGTCACTGTGACCTGAGTTAATTAATTAGGATTGACAGGCTAATGAGCAATTGTTTCCCACCTGGTAGGTTAAACCACTCTGGTTGAAACAACACTGGTTAGATTAGCCACTCTAAACCAACACCAAATCTGAATACACGTGATTCTACTCTTCATTACTGTAGATTGACAACTGAACTATTGTATGCCACTGTAGCAGGTGACTTTGTACTTAATTGATTTAGTGTCAACTGATGTAAATGTGTATTCAAGTTTGCCTGTTAACCTGGAAGTCGATTGTTTGATTTTAACTTTAATCAAACATACTACTCTCCTTCCTTCTGTGAATAATTTGACCTTTCCCATCATGTAATCCAAGATGGCTACATTAATGTAGCTGTAGTAGAAATATATCTTTGTTTTCTTGAACAGATAATGAGGCCATAAATCCAATACATGGGAGGGATCATTGATCATTGTGATGATGTATGTAGCTGACCTCAGCACATCATACATCTCATCACCGTGGTCCGTATTAACAGGGTCCCTTAATGTTATAACCTGTCATATATAAATGTGGAAACTCTTAATCTCTACATAATGGTTATGACAAGGACCCCTTGACTTCCATGCTTAGTTTTTAAAATTCATAAAATAAAGTTACATCATTAATTCCAATACAGCAGGATCTGATGCTAGTCTGATGAAGTCAAATCACTAAGTGATAAGAATTAGTGAAATCTCAACTGTACCCAGGAAATCAGTGACTTAAAAAATAAATCTGTTTGTGATTTGAACTACTTTGCCAAAACAGAATTTAGTAACATATATATTGGGGTAGTAAATCTATATACGTAAATCCATGTTATTATTCTATTAAGTTTGGGCTTGTAGACTTTGACATTGTTGTCACAGATTGTTATGTATGCAGAGGTATATCTGGATAATGAAAGGGTCTTGCTAGCCAGCAGACTGGAGAATGGTGCATCACTGTAATTGTGAACTGGTGAAAGTTTGTTTTCCCGCCAGACATACAATTTCCATATCTAAATTAATCCAATACAAATATGTTCCTGCAAGCTGCACATTGCTCTGGTGGGAGACCCAGTCTGGTGACAGTGTGTGTACAGTGTGCTGAAGCAAGCAGTAGTGTCACCCAGACACTGACACAGTAGCACAGCTCAGCTTGGGGGTGAGGGTGGGGGTGGGGGAAGCACCGATCTGATCAGACAGTGTGTACACATGTCACACCTCATCAGGCCTATCAGTGTCCTAGCACCTTCCTGATTGCATTGGGGAACTATTTCAATCAAACATGAGTATTATTAAATAAATGTACTGTTCCTCCAATATACTACGCAAAACATTTTTCCTCGAAGTGTTGCTACAAAATTTCATCAAATGGTTTAATAAAGGATATAAGTGTAGCCTATTTATGATCAATCAAAACATTTTCACTTGCAATGTGGAGTCAAATGGGTTTAATAAAGGATATAAGTGTAGGCTATTTATGATAAATCAAAACATTTTCCCTTGAAATGTGGAGTCATATGTTCATCAAATGGTTTAATTAAGAATAAAAATGTAGCCTATTCATGATAAATCAGAAAAAAAGTTTTGTGTAGATTAGCATTACTTCATGAATCTGTGTTAGACTTGACATGCTAACACCAAGCTGGAATATTAATGTAAAGATATGCCTTGGAGATGCTGTGTGTCTTTCTTGGTGAAGCAAATAGGCAGTTTTATCTGAATGTCACACTGTATTATTTGATTGTGTAACAGGTAGAATATGATTCTGTGACGAAATGAGGGATAGGATTGAAATACACCACAGGCTTTAGCTGGCCTGTCACAAGCATGTCAGCATCTTAATTGGTATTAGAGCAAGTTTAAATCTTTCTGTGCAAACCTAGAGAAAGTATTATATTAATGTTTATCACCCTGAAGCTGTCAAGGTATTATGCCATGTGTGGAGGTGTGATATCAGCCAGTGTTAACTGCTTGTAACAGAACAAATACACATTATAGCTACACACAAGCTTGTGGGGTATATACCTTTATTGTTTAACACAAGTAGGGATAACAGTTGCCAGGATCTAAGATAAATATCACACATTTTATTTACATTTCTATATCCCCACACCTTTCCATCAGTATCAAATAGTCACTGACAGGTATTTAATCTAATCAGTTGTTAGCCAATCAGCAGGCTGCATAGAATCTGTAAGCCAATCAGAGGCAGCCCAGGCCAGCATCCCTAGGGAGCTTGTGGGTGATTAGGAGAGTCTGGCTTGTGTAAACAGTGAGAGGTAATTAGAGCAATAGTCAGGTGACAAAGTCAGATTGGTGGCAGCGGGAGTAATTGTGTGTGGATGAAATGAACACAGCCAATCAATCGGCTGCTCCCATTCAAGCAGTGTTCACTGGCTGTCACTTGGACAGGCTATATATACATGTGCTGGACCAGTCTACACCATTCACTTCTAGCATCTCAAACTGTCAGCATCTCTTGGATATATCTTTGTGATACTCTTGGACTTACTTCATCGGTGTATTACACTTGTGTAGATTTCACACAGTTTGGTCAAGTTTTCATATTTGAATTTTACACTTCAATCTGAAAATGGTTCTTGACGTGAGTTTCAAGCTGAACTTGTCATACAGCTATGGTGCCAATCAGTCGTACAGTGACTGTCTTGAACAGCATATGTTTAAGAAGCGTAAGCACCACAGAAGCCGATCTGGACATGTCAGCAAAAAATCTAAATCGAAACAATATGGCTACTTGGATTGTACCATCAACCTGCATCATGTAAGTTTTCTTTTATCGTCCTCTCTTATTAATCAGCCTTGACAGGCGTCGCTGTGGAAAAGTTTAATAAAACTTCTTTTTTCTTTTTAATTAGCTGATATTTATCATTGAAATAAGAAGCTAATTTGAAGAATTATGAAATAATGGTCAATGGGTAAAATTACAAATCTTACTGCCATTAAGACAAATTTTAAATGTTTCAAATTTTTGGTCTCTTTCTTCTATTTGGTGTCCAAATATTCCATCCAAGTCATTATGTTTGTCCCGACATTGACAGTGAAAGTGTTATTGCAAGGGACTTGCTACTGTTTTCCTGCCAACTTCTTTTATTGTCTTACACCTTGACTGAAACATGACTTGTTGAGCCCAGGGCAATTGCACCTAATCCCCTTGAAGATTCTACACTTTATTGACAAATTGTTTAAATCCCTTGACAATGGTGTTAGGCCATTAGTATCCCCTTTGAAGCTCATTATACAGTAAGACAAGGAAGATGGCTGGCCCTGGGGCATGGCTGTCATTATAGGGATCTGAATCACAAATCCCTCTCACAGATTTAAAGGCCTTTACAACCTGCTTCTTCAGCTTTGAACTTCAAGACTTTATGGCCCATGTTTTTACAGCCTATTTCACCCCTTCATAAAAGAATATGGATATGTTTTTATTGTACCATGTTCAGAAAGTCAATAGTTTAACAGTGAATTTAGGGTGTTGACAAGGTCTTCCAACCACTAAGTAGTATTTTATGGCGTCTCCAGGAGGTGTCGTACTGTCAGGGGCAGCCTCACTTGTTGACTCAGGTTCTACTTGTGCTGGCAGACAGACAGGAAAATATTTCTTTTATCAATAAATTATATGTTGACACTAAAGGCCTAGCTGCTTGTTTGAAGTAAATTACAACAAAGTTGGAAATTTTACAAATGTACTGAACAGAGAAAGTTAGGGATCACGACTATGTTAAGGATATTTTTTTGAGTACAGAATTTAATGAAAAATATCCCCCCAAAATCTTTCTGGTGTATTTTAGTCAGCTCAAAATCTTCTGACATGGCGTAACTGGCAACAGTTTCAGCTTGATACATACAACATTCAGTTTTGTTATTTTTAACAAAACGTTATATTTGGAATGCTCTGTACATGTAGCAGCTGATATCATTTGATATCCCTTACATCTTTACAGATGAAAGAAATTAGATAATTCCAGGTCTAGACTAACAGTTCATCAGAACAAGAAACACGAGACAGTGACTGTTATGTAAGATCGGTTGTGGTTGTTAATTATGACAATGTTGTTATTACATTTCACTAATTAGACCCCTTGACCTTGGCCAGCCTGGTGTTGCAATGAGTACCAGCAGAGGCCATCACGGTCAGACTGAAGTCACAGGGTAATTACCCCGGTCAAACACATGTTGTCATTGCAATACATGCAGGAGACGCAGGTACAAGGTGGCTTGTTGATCAGCCACCAAGGTGTTCTTGTAATTGCTGAAATAACACTACAACACACATGGCTACTGTTTAAACAGGTACTTTTGAAAAGTCCAACATAAATTATTATTGTTATGATCTCAGATTTGTCTAAAATTCAGATTGGTATTTTAGACTTTATATTGCGTATAAGTTGTATGATGTCTTTGTAAACTTACATAAACATTAATTCCTATACATGTATTTTTCTGTTTCCTAAATGCACAAGTATTGGTATCTGGTTCAAGTTTAACATGCAGGCGATATCTTATACTCCCTGACTGCCACCTGGAGTGATAGCTCCACTAGAATGTGATCATTGTTCATGAACTACACTGAGATTTGGTGAAGTGTGACAACAGGATTAGACACAGGTGTTGCTCAACCAAACGTCTCCATGTATTATTTCATCAAGGAAATGCTGCCTCCCATGGAGGATATTTCGGTATATAAAATACAGACCCTGTTCACAATACATCATTCCCTAGTATACAATCTCCTTAATTTGTTAATCCCAACTGACAAAGGAATTCATCATAGGGCTGTGAATGTAACACTAGTCCCATTACCTGTGTGGCTGTGATTATTATAAGAATATTACAGTGCATGTATGAATGGACTGCAGTTGGATCCGGGGTAGGTATGGCTGATCTAATCAGGGGGCTTTAGAAGTTGGTCATGTGGAGAGACCTGCCTGGCCCCACATATACCTACCCATTGCGATAGGCTTGTCATACACACAATACTGCTACTTGTAACAATTTAACTGCTCACCATTGTCTTGTGGCAATTGCTTCTCCTGACTCGCCCAATGTGATTGAAATGTTTTGGAATATTCCTGGAGCTATCTGCAAAATTTGGATGTGGTTGTGAACTTGATGGATAATATTGATAATGAGATATGATTTGTGTGAGATTACTGCGCCAGGAGTTGTTTGGTGTGGAGGATCGAAGTGGGGTGCAGGCCTCAGCTTCACAAATTGTATTCCTTCACAACTCAGTAAGTATGGCAGCCATATTGCCTCATAAACCACCCTGCTAGACACCATCTTCATAAACAACCAACCATCCAATTGTGATCTGACTTTGATCTACAGTGGACATAAATTGAAGCTCTATTCATTAGCTGTTATGTGGTATTCAGTATACCTGATTTGGTAGCTGATATTAGTTAATTGTCTCAAGGGGCACACAATGCAGATTTCTGTATTGATACCGAAACCAGAACAATCTTAGCAAGGTGTCGTTTGGGATCGTCTACACATGTTGGTACGAAAATGAAAAAGAAATTTAGTCAATCTCATTTTTGAATCCTATTTTGAGATTATTTCTTTTCATTTCAGTCGCTGATAGCAGGAGATGGCGACCAGTCAATTCAGAAGTTGTTGCCGGCAAATAGTGTCAACAGCATCGTTGCCCAAGTGGCCAAGAAGGACGATAAGGATGAAGTTGGCCGTGTGGCTGGCTGGGCAGTCAACTTCGACAAACTTCTTCGCGACAACGGCGGTGTTGTTGTCTTCACTGTAAGTTCTTCATCTAATCGTGGCAATGTCTTCGTCCTTTGTAATAATAATAATTCATAAAATATATATAGATATAGCTCCAAGTAAAAATGAATGTTATGTGCCATGGTGAATATATGTATTGATTTTAATTGTTTTTCTCCTTAGGAATTCTTGAAGAAGGAGTTCAGTGAAGAGAACATTGTCTTCTGGCGTCTGTGTGAGCAGTACAAACAACTCAGCAATGACGATGAGGTAAACCTACTTTCCTGACAACTCTGTAAACAACATGACTGGGAATAACTACATATCTAAAGGCAATTTACCCAACAACTACTTCTACCTGACCATGAATTAATGAGTGTCAGGGAACAGCATAGTTTGTCCCGACTGTCTGGGTCTTGTTGAAACAACTTGAATATTCAACCAGTGCACCATGAATCAGCTTACTCCGGTGCATGTACAAAACTTAAATTCTTCTTTATAATATCAGTCTCGTAATTATCATTGATCTTAATTTTTATCCCCCTGGCATATAATGCGGCAGGTATAGTGAACAGTCTGTCGAAAACCGTGAAAGATGTTTCTTCCGTTTCTTCCGTACTTGGTAGATGTTTAAATCAGGGGGTTAAGTGGTGCTTTTGCTATTGTTGGGGAGGTGGGGAGAAGGGATACTTTATCATATTCTGATGGCCCCATATACGTGTTGGAGCTGTCCCCCAATTTTATTGTTCGCAAAGGTGAAATATATATTTTCAAGAGGATTATAGTTTAGCAAGAACTGGTAGATGATAATCTACTGCTGATATTCAATCCCTATGTGGTGCGATCATCCATGACTACCAACCTATTGTGAAATAATTACTGTGTGGTGGCAGGCCACGACAAGCCTTCCCTAGAGTAGTCAAAAACATAGTTAGGATCGGGAAAATTGCTAAAGAGACTCAATCTTTGGAGAAGAGGATATTTCAGGAATGATGTGAACCATACACTTTATTATGTCCCCCTTTGTTGTGGCAACTAAACAAACCCAGCACCCCCATACATATATTTATGTGATATCTCTTTATCTTTTATGGTTTTAAGTTGCTCGTGAATGTTTTGTTTACTGCTGTTTAGCATGCAGTGACTACTGCTATCTTTTACCACCCCCACACTCAATAACACTGTTGGGTTTTTTATGTTTGGGTTTTTGTTTTACATTCTCAAATTTGCTTTTTGTCTTTACAGAGAAAAGCCAGGGCGAAGGAAATCTTCACCAAGCACCTGTCCTCCAAGGCTTCAGAGCCTGTCAATGTGGACAGCACGTCACGTCAGAATGCAGAGAAGCATCTTGACAACCCCATCCCTTCCATGTTTGACATGGCGCAGAAACATGTAAGGCTTAGTTCTCAAATTATATTCACATCAAAAATAAATGTTACATGTTCAGATTTAATGAAAATGACAAATAATTTTGTGCTTGAATCTCTCAGTGTTGATTATTTTTTAATTGACTTATTATTCATGTGACTTGTTGATGTGTCCTCAGATCTGGCAGCTGATGAAGCAGGACAGCTATGTCCGGTTCCTGAAGAGTGACATGTACAAGACATACCTGATGAGGGAGATGGAAGGGAGACAACTGGAACTGCCCCACGATCAGATGGCGGGAGCCAGTAAGGACGACAAGAAGGTAGGCACATGGACGAACTCAGATTTTAAGTGTTTTAACTCTCTTCACTATTCATTAATTAAAAAAGCGATACAGTGATGGAAGTATTTTGTTTGGCAATGATTTAATATTATTTTGTTTATTAATTTCAGAATGGAAAGGGCAAAGAAAATGAGAAGAGAAGGAGGTCTTTGTTGCCATGGAGACAAAGTAAGTTGGTGTGATATTCAGATATTTTAAAAATAAATAATGCAATTATTATCTAGGAAGAAACTGAAAGGAACGAAAGTGATGGGTTTTGTACACACTCGCTCATTGTCATCTTGTATTTACAGATAAGAACAAACACAGCAACAACAAGATACCCTCCGACGCTGAACTGAAGCGTGTGGCTACCAAGGACATCAAGATCAAGGACAAGGAGGTCAACAACAACCTGAAGAAATGTCCTGGGCCCGGAATCGACCTGAGCACCATGAGGAAGGAGGTGTTCCAGACGAAGGAGGTAGGTGTCCACGGGTGTCCGGGCAGGGGAGGGGGGTCAGCAAATATCAAGAAGGATGACAATCGCATTGATGGTTGAATCGATCAAAGGCATCAAACTAAATATTTACCCAGATTCATCAGATTCATCAGATTCATCAGAATCTATACTTAAGTATGTGATTGATAGCATTGTAACATCAAAGGCATCAAACTAAATATTTATCCAGATTCATAAGAATCTATACTAAAGGATGTGATTGGTAGCATTGTAACACTGTGGTGATGTTTTCAGGAGATGAGGGACCCCAACGAGGGCCAGTTCAAGTTCTGCCGTGTCGTGCTCCCTGACGGCTCCACCACTGTCGTGTGTGCCAAGCCTGGCCAGTCCAGTCGCTCGGTGCTGGGGAAGCTGTGTGAGAAACGAGGCCTCTCCATTGCTGCTGTCGACGTGTTTCTTCTCGGCTCGGACAAGGTATGTCAATTTACATCCATACATCAATAACTGGCCATTAGGTCATTCAGTTCCATATTAAATGATGAACACTGTGTAATTGGAAAACACTTTATACTATTTCTAAAACAATGTTAAACTAATGATTTGTTGCACACAAGATAGTAATGTGTGAAGTCGGTTCTTGCTGTCACATTGGTAAAAAATTGCTAAAGGCAGTTTACAATTTCACTCACTGCATAAAATTAATTCAATTTGTTCTTGTTCTTCCAGCCACTTGACCTTAGTGAGGACGTGTCCACCCTTGGGTCAAAGGAGGTTGTCATCGAGCGAAGGGTTCTGTTCCGTATGGACTTCCCCAACAAGAAATCCATCGGGGTCAAGGCCAAGCCTAACAGAACCATCCGAGATGTGTTCAAGCCCATTCTCAATAAATATGGCTACAGAATCGAGAACATTGCTGTTCAGCTGGTAAGAATATTAATCGACACTTAATAGATTTTGAATTGTTAAATCATCAAAACATTTGAATGTAATTTAATTTTGTTTTTATTTGAATCTTACATTTAATATTTTTTTAATATACAGTTAGATGTTTCTTTAAGAATTATGATTCAGAAATCAATGGTATTACTGATGACTAACAATGCTTGTGTTGTGTTTCAGTCGGGGCACGAGGAGCTGCTAGACATTGATATGTTGGTGTCCCAGTTAGACAACCAGCGGGTCGTCATCCTCACCAAGGAGACGTTAGGTGTGTGCCTCAACAATGCTTTCCTAAACACCTCTGACAGTGACAATATGACACACTGTCTTAAACAGTGCTGAAAGTATGTTAATTTGTAAAGTGAGCATTAATGTTAAAATGTCAAGATTTGCAGCATCAGTAGCTCTGCAGTCTGTACTCATGGCTCAATTAACGCGCTGACTCGTGCTTACCTTAACATGACCTTGTAGTATTTCAACCGTTACTAAAGCGTCTATCACTTGCTGCTATGCCAGGACCTCTGCCATGCACATGCTCGTGTCATTGTAGACGAGGTAAGGTCGAGGTCGTATCATCAGTTGTTTCCATTACTTAGTTCTTTTGTTATTAATTTATTTCATGGAGTCAAGTTTTTTTTCTTCATCTTGGTGTGTTTGGTTGCTATCTTGCTCAGTCTGGCCTGTTTTGCTGTGGTTGAAAACCGGTGTAAATTCCGATGCTTGCCCTGGTTTGCCGTGTGTGTGATTCAGTTCGGTTAAAAAAGCCGCATGTTCGCTTTCATCATCGTCCCTCCATTCAACAAACTAATTTCGATAACAAAACATTTCATTCAGAATACTTGCTAACATTCATATCATGAAATAAAGAGACTGCATTATTTTACCTGGATCTACTAATATAACATCATCTATCATTGCATGATCTACTAATATTGCATGATCTACTAATATTGCATGATCTACTAATATTGCATGATCTACTAACATTGCCAAAACTATGTGTTCTCATTATTGCATGACTGCCTTGTACGCTGACTTACCCTAATGCTTGTTTGCTTACTGACACTTGTTGCGCAATTAATCCCACCTCACCTTCACTCTCGCTTGCTTCATCACAACTGATGTTAGTTCCTTTAATCACTGATGTAATCATCTTGAGCCTCTCCCTGCCTCACTCCAAACATATCACTCCCTTGTTCTATTCCTGCACATATTGGTGGCACCCTGCACGGTGCATGGATCGTTGAATTGCATTAACAACCATGCATGTCTCGTTATTTGTCTAACAGACTGGGTTGGCGAGGAGCGACCTGGCATGTCGTCCACCCTTCACAGACCCCCTCTCCCGCCCACAGCTAGCCGGCACAAATCTGGTAGCCTGGGTAACATTAAGGCAGGATCGCTAGACGAAATAACTAATCGTATATTTGAGGACTTGATGAAAGGGAAAGCGGAATCAGCTCATAATTTTGATGAACTTGGTATTGTGGAACTGGAAAAGACCAAGGTAAGGGGTGGAGTTACCTCCCCTTGTGCGATAGGTGGAGTTACCTCCGCTCTCGTGTGATTGGTGGTGCTTCCACCCCGCGTGTTTCATGCTCTGGCTGGTTGTCTTGTGTGTTGTGATCTGTTGCTGTCGCATGAGAAATAATCTTTCAAGGACTGTTGACAAATAAAGTTTGAATACATAAGAAACTCCAAGAGATTTTCAATAAATTTTGTTCTTGTTGGCATGAGTTTTCACGTTTGTGGTTTTGTTTGGTTGGTTTGAAGAAGTTGGTTTTCACTTTGTTGTCAGTTCATCATAGTATAGAAACAAATAATTCAACTGTGGCTTTTCTGTTTAGGCTCCCAAAAATCCAGACGAGCATCGCTTATCAGGCTTATTCGGCCTACTGAGAAGAGAGTCAGTGGGCAAAGCAAAAGACAGCAAGCAGCCGAAGTCTACAACAGCAAAGAGCAAGGTGACCTTTGCTCTCCCAAAGAATGAAACCCGTCCAAGATCTGATCCAGAAAGTGAGTATCCAGTTATCCAGTGCAATTTCTTTATCTGATGTTTAAAACATCATCATCATAATTATGTAACGCTTCATCAAAATTTATTTATCTTGTATTGATCACATTTTAATGGAAATATAATTTTTCTTTGTCAGATGAAAAACTCTTCGAGCTTCTGTCACGAGCTCAGAGTCAGAGGCTGGACGACCAGAGAGGAGTGGGCACAGACTCTGTCGAGATTCCAGAGTTCCTGAGGATGGAGACGCCGGTGCCGACCGACAGCCCAACAACACGCGGGGTGTCTTCCACTGATCTCTTCGATGACGTGGAATACTTGCAGGGTCATGGCCGCCCATCCAGAGGAGCCCAGACACCTCAAGGTCAAGGTCCAAATCCCAGTTCCAGGAAGGTCAACAAATTTACCACATTCGGAACTCCTGGGTTTGGCTCGTCCAATCAGAGCTTTAGTTTGGATGGTCAGATGCCGTCACAAGAACTGGCAGACGAGTACTTCCAAATGCAACCAGTAGTTTTAGATGCGAATGAATTCGACATGGAGAACATCGAGAACTTTTATCAGACGAACGTCCAACAAGAGCATGAGTGGGCTGAAACACCCCATCATCTCGGTGTGCAACACCTCACATCTCCAGCCCCCATGGCTTCCCCTGAGAGGTTTTCCCCAAGAAGGAAGCTTCACGAGAGATTCAATGAACAGAAAGTGTGTGAAGCTATTGATCAAACTTTTATGGATCAAAACAAAAAGGGTGTCACACTAAACATCCACTCCTCACCTAGACCGCCCCCACCCCTGCTTCTTACGCCGAGAGAAATCCCCAGGAAACCCCCCAATTACACACCACCACCACCACTGTCGGAAATTAACAAAGACTTAAACAGTTCTCATACAAGACATTCCGAGAGCTCTAGCTTTCACCGACCCCTCAAACACAGTGGTCAGGTGAAGGATTTGGCCTCACTGCGGGACAGTGAGAACTTGTGTTCACAACCAAATGACAGACTTTCTGCATCAGCTGAAGGAAACCCTGGGGCCACGCCCAAACATCTCGGAAACACTCAGCATAGTCAAGTAGTGGTGGACATTAAATATGGGGAAGAAACAGTGACGTTTGTGTAATTTCAAATGTTTGTCATTATGTTTGTAATAATGGTTGTGAACTGCTAGGTTGTCTCATTTATGTTGTGAAGTTTTACTTGGCAAATCATTTGTTAACTGTCATATTTCTTAATACTATAAGTATTATATTCTTTTTACAAAAGACGGGAAATGTTTTTAAACATTTAGAATAGTTTTTGTTAGAATATGACCTTGTACACTCACGGGATCAGTGTCATACAGTGTTTGTAGTTGAGAAGTTGTAACCTTGTTAAATGGCAATTAATTTTTAGTTCCTGTAAGTATCATGCATTTTAATTTTTAAAATATTAAAATGTTTATTTTATGGCATTTTATTCATCATAAAATGGAATTGTGTAAATAACACAGGGAGGTCACTCATGAGCCTTGGAAATTGCCTTCATTGTATGTGAGATGCACGAGAGAGTATGGTGCTAATTTGTAAAGAAATTGTATATATGTATGTACAGTTTTATTGTATAGAAAATTGTATTTATTATGTTTATAGAAATGGACGCAGCTTTCAATAAAAACTTGAAAGTAAATTCTGAATTGTGTTCTTGATATGCCACATGCATGGACAACTGAATGTGTTACCGAGGACTTACAGTTCCTGCATGTAAGTCAATGGATAGCCTAATGTTTAAAATGTTTGCTCAGCACGCCAAAACCGGGGTTCTGTTTTTCCCCCATAAGTGAGTGAGTGGTTTTAGCAATATTTCAGCAATATCAGGCGGGGGGACACCTGAAATGGACTTCACACATTGTACCCATGTCGGGAATCGAACCCGGGTCCTCGGCGTGACGAGCAAACGCTTTAAACACTAGGCTACCCGACCGCCCCTCTGCCTCTTATGAACCAGTGTACAACTTGTATTATGAATTCTAGTAACTAAAGTGAGGTGTTTGTTATTCATCACACATGTATTGTATGGCTCACACAGCTTGCTGTAAGTTAACCCTCCATAAAACAGGTTACAGTTATGCTTTCTCCAATCAGGCCACTTTTTCTTTTCTCAACCTGGAGCAGCCAAAATCGTGGCCTTTACAAGACTAGTCCAGAGGATTAGTGTAAGCCTGATTAAAGTGTTTGCTCGTCAAAGGCCCGAGGTTGATTCCCCACATTGTTGGAATGTTGCTAAAAGCACTCACTCACTTGTCCTCAAGAGTTTGTACATGTTCTGTCAGTTTTATTCAGTTCCAATTTGTAACTCAATTGAGTGAGTGAGTATGGTTTTACGCCGCTTTTAGCAATATCCCAGAAATACACCAGAAATGGGCTTCACACATTGTACCCATGTCGGGAATCGAACCCGGGTCTTCGGCGTGACGAGCAGACGCTTTAACCACTAGGCTACCCGACCGCCCCGTAGCTCAATTGAAGCATTGAGAACTGATTCAAGATTATCGCCCTCAAATGCGTCCAGGCAATGAGGATGTTTCCTTGTCCTAAACACAATTTAGTAGTCTTGGTCTCGTAGACTTGCGTGAAGTTTGATGGCTGGCAAATCCACTAATTTCCATGTAGGGATTTCCTAGTTCTCCATCTTCATGATGAGAACAGTTAATGAACATCGTGATTGTGTGTTTGTTGTTTAACGCTGCACTCTGCAATATTCAAGCAATATGATGGCAGTCTGTAAATAATCGAGTCTAGACCAAACAATTCAGTAATTGATATCACTCGCAAGGCAATTGGGATATGATGACATGCATCAACCAAGTCAGAGAGCCTGACCACCAGATCCCGTTAGTCACCTCATACGACAAGCGGAGTAGCCTCTGATGACAAGCATGGTTGTGATGGTGCAGCTTGTGTCTGATAGTGGTGTAAAACAACATTCATTCACTCAGTATCCTACAGTGTTTGAGCAGGGAATTTTTAACCTTTTTTTAAAGGCTATCAACTTTAAGTTCCTGTAATTATTCCAAATACCAATATGAGATTGGCTGACAAGATAGGTCAAGGTCACCCTGGAGAGCGACAGCATAAGAAGTAGTCAATATTACCCCATCCTTTTAAAATCATATGTGCATAAAATCACTTCATGAAGAAACATTTAATGGTTTGTTTTCTAGTTCTGCTCCAGAAACATATCGGACGGAGGCCATTTCTATTTCCCCTGCAAAACTTTCTTTGGACAGGAAAAGAAACCCTTTTTGTCATGAGGTTTTACAAAAGGAATTTTACACCAAACTACATGGTCTCTTGGGTGGGTCTCTATTTGAGTGAGTGAGTGAGTACCACTTTTAGCAATATTCCAGCAACATCACGGCGAGGGACACCAGAAATGGGCTTCACACATAGTACCCATGTCAGGAATCGAACCCGGGTCTTGGCGTGACGAGCGAACGCTTACACCACTAGGCTACCCGACCGCCCCTCTCTATTTAATGTCTGATATCAAGTCTCTGCTCAATGTCACTGTGAAACAGCACAATTGTCATGACTTTTCATTAAAACACAATGCTTGTATCAGATGGAGCATGAAAACTCTTGTCAAAGCCATTATCAAGATGATTCACAACTCCTTATGGTTAATGATATGCCCATCGTTTTCTATATTGAAAGGCAGACAACTTTATTGGTCTTCTACTTTCTGTTTTGAGTGAGGTTATATTGCAAGCAGGCATGTTCAAAACCAAAGTGCTTTCAATTTCATGATTGGCAACCATCAAGTCCCAGGTATTGACAATCTCATTAAAATCGGATCTTAGTTCTCGCAATTGCTAAACAAAGAACTGAGGACATACCATTTCAGGTCATGTCAGAACGACCTTTCATCCAACCCAACACAGCGTCGCTTACCAGATCATGAAAGTGACAGTCGGAATGTGTTTTCTAATCATGCAACCACGATATATTTAACACGGGGTATTCCGAACGACAGTTACGGGTTTTATGATTATATCCATACAATCTATATAAGCCATTCAAGAATGTTCTTATCAGTTTTAAAATTTTTAATCGAGAATACGTAAAAATGTTTCGAAGCGTGGTCGCCAGTTTGAAACTCGTGTCGTAAAGCTCGAGAAAGCTGCCTTCTCATTGGCCAATGTCAATTTCTTGTCAGTCATTTCATTGGTCGGTCAAATTTCGCAAAAGGTCGTTCTGACGTGACCCGTAATGAGATGTCCTCAGATCTTTGTTTAGCGGTAGCGAAGACTAAGATCTGATTTTAATGAGATTGCAGATATTGACTTCATAATGTGACCTTGACCTTTAAAGCTGGACAAAAATTCCTAAAGGGTATTGAATATGAATTATAATGAAATCTGTCTGGAGTAGAAACATCCATCTTTTAAAGACGGTTAGCTGTGGTTCCTGACTTCCTCAAAACAACAGATGCATCGAGTGAGTGTCATGTCATGATGTACAAGCACAGGATGCCTCAGAACACAGGGCCACTTGTGCCTTCCAAACACACTGACTGTCTTCATGAGAGAGGGGAGGAAAGCTTACTGTTTTGAAATTGTTCATCGTTGTCTTGAGACCTTAATTATGTGTTCAGTTTCAATTAAATTTGGAAATTGTTGAAAATGTAAAAGATTATACAATGGATGAGGCCCCAAGTACATATACTTATGGAAGAAAATAAGGGAACAGCAATACTGCAAAATGCTGTTTACTGCTGTACTCCATACTCAACAGACAAAAGTAAAATGTTAGCAGTTGATGTGTCCACATCTTCCCGAGGCAATGCATCCACTAACCTTTTTATCAAAGTCTTGTTTCCACTCTTGCCACATCAAGCCCATTTTCTTGTGCTAAATATGACTGAACTATTGCACATATCGATGGTCCAATCAGAGAATGTTTAAAAAGATAAACATCCACGACTGGTACACCTTCGTATGAAAGTGATTTACTGCTGTCTTTGTTGACACGGATATGTCTTTTTCATCTTTTAAACCCCCCAACCATTGCCTGTTTTTTTGTGTGTCAGGGATGAAATTGCAAATGTTTTCGTTATCTGATCGAAAAGGTCGTCACCTATAGTAGTCACCATCTTTGTGAAGTTACGAGTTGAGAACAGCGACCTGAATGGATATCGCGTTTTCAATACAAGATGCACAACTCATGATCTACGAGAGGTGGCACCAAGGTCGAGCCAAGAAAATGGCCTTGAGAAGGCAAGGGTAGAACTAGGCTTTGATATAGGCCAGTGGACACGCTTGCCTCGGGAAGATAGTGTGTCCACTACACTCCCAATTTTGATTGGTTATCTTCAGGATACAAAAGAATTTCATGCTTCTGATTCCCTTTAAAGCTTTTCCCTCACTTTCCATGAGTATATGTACCTGGCATAGAGCGGACACCAGCATCCAAGAAACAAGCAACACACTGTTTACAATGGTTAACATCAAGAGGCAATCACGGCCACAGCTTTATTACTTTGTGTATATTCAGACAGCTATTGCTCCAGGAGAGAATATGTATACAGCAGTACCCAGCTCCATGTCACACAGAGAAACTATGTATACATTACTAAGCTCCATGTCAAAGTGAACATAAGTATGCAGTACCCAGCTCTACATCACAGAGAGAAGCTATGTATACATTACTGAGCTCCATGTCAAAGAGAACATAAGTATGCAGTACCCAGCTCTACATCACAGAGAGAAGCTATGTATACATTACTGAGCTCCATGTCAAAGAGAACATAAGTATACAGTCCCCAGCTGATATGTGGCCTACATGGTTATCAAGGTACTGTTTTATCCCAGAAAAGATACTTATGATGACATTGGGAATGATCTACCTATTCGTTTACGTATCAATATTTACTTTAAGATACTTAATTTACCAAAAATTGCAACTTGATACCATGGTTGGCGTTTTACTATGATAAAAAAAAGCAATTTTTATCAGACGGTTATGTTTGAAAATGTTTGATAGAAACCCTGTGGAACATAATCCTCTACTTTATTTTCAATACCTTGAAAGGAAACATATTATTTTTTCAAGTAGTATTGTGTCCAACTTATATACTTTTACACACTGAGACCATTTTCGAATATCTTACTTAATTCAAGTACATGTACTTTTCCTGAATGAACCCCAACTATAGCAGATTGTAATATAGAGAATTTTGATAATGAAGAATAAGTCCGACTACCCATTCTTGATCATCCTGCCTGCAAAGGTTGATACAGATGCAAGGCTTGACTGCAACCTATCCATCAATTTGATGTGCATCAGTCAAGCCCAGGGAATCGGTAGAAGTTGATGTGGCAGTGACATGCATCTCCTTCAGTCATTGGACAAACTTACAAATAAGTTAAGTAACATGCAAAATAACTTACAAAACCATGGGCCAAACATACAATAAAACATAAACCATTTTGTGTACAACACAGGATTAACATTGACCGCTGGGGCTTACTGTTTTTGATGTACAGGTTTCAGGCCGACATTACAGCGAGACTCGTGAACAGAGTACAGGCCGACATTACAGAGAGATGTCTGGGCTGAGAAAGGCAGACATTACAGCGAGACTCCCGGACAGAGTACAGGCTGACATTACAGCGAGACTTCTGGGCAGAGAAAGGCCGACGTTACAGCAAGACTCATGGACACCAAACTCATGGACGTTTCAAAGTGACACCAAACCGTTAATCGGATATGATACAGTGAGACTCCTGGACAGAGTACAGGCTGACATTAGAGCGAGACTGAGTACAGGCCAGCATTACAGCGAGACTCATGGACAGTGTACAGGTCGACATTACAGTGAGACTCCTGGACAGAGTACAGGCTGACATTACAGCAAGTGAGTATTTGAGACATAGGCTACCTTTCAGCGCTTCAAAGTGGCACCAAACCATTAATCGGATATGATACTTCAGTGCATGAAGATCTGGCAAACCCTCCATAGGATTATGTCAGTGAACCCTGACCACCCTATCTAAATGAATGAGAAATAGTACTTCAGCCAATCAGCTTTCAAAATGATTAGGTCCAATTCCTCACTTCACCTCGAATCGGAAAATATCATCTTTACAAATGAAACACCAACACAGAAGACAAATGTTCCCTCACTTTGCGAGTCAATAGTAGACCCTTTTGGGAGTAGGTGCCATGGCAATCAGAAATGACAGGGTGCATAGTATATCCACAACAATATACAGCACAGCTTTTATTAGTTTCCATTCAGAACTTCCCAATTTTGTAGTCTTTTCGAGATATAGAAATCAGATGCATTGCGCACAACATTTTGCTCGTTTGTACCAAAACTTTGAGGACACTTCAATGCTGATTGGCTGATAAGAAAATCCACCCAATACAACCTCCTACGACAGTTATTTTTAGATCTTCAAGCTGAGAGGTGTCATATACAGTAAATATCGATAGTAAAATAAAGATTGTTTACAGGGACCTAGTATGTAGAAGCGATGTGGTTCCGACTACACTGATCAATTATACCCAGTTTATAGCTGATTTGTAGGTAAATATAATTACCACATACCAGTATATAAAGTAATTACAAGAAAACACCAAACTCTTTCAAGCATTTTATGGGTTGGTTGGTTGGTTTGTTGTATAACGCCACACTCAGCAATATTCCTGCTATATCACGTTTGTCTGTAAATAATCGACTCTGGACCAGACAATCCAGTGATTAATATCATGAGCATTGATCCACGCAATTGGCATCGATGACATGCATCAACCAAGTCAGCGCACCTGACCACCCGATCCTGTTAGTCGCCTCTTAAGACAAGCATAGTCGCCTTTGCATTTTATGGGAATTGCAAACAAAATCAGTTTGGCACAAAAACGTTCTGGCAATCAGAACCACATAGTTTAACCAAAGTGACGAGAATTTAGGTAATAGAAGTAGTGTTGAGTAAACACTAATGGTTTTAGCCTTGAGACAACAACTACAGATCATCCTGTGATCAAAAATGATAAGATTCTCTTATGTTTCCACATTCCAGTGGTCAAGTCTACAGTTTTAGGAAGATCTCAGTCACCATGGTTACTATGGCAGCATCTAGTCAACTTTTCAGCATCTAATGTACATATGTAGAAATGTCTAACAAGGCATCAACAATAACTTGATCTGGTTAGTGAATGAGCTTTTGTGGACTTTGAACAGTATTTTATGGTGCAGCATTAGAAATTGGCATTAGTTATATAGTCCTTGCCAAACTGCCCAAAAGTTAAGGTATCATATGGACAAGTAGAAATTTGCCAATATTAAGGGTTTTGCTATATGATATCATCAAAAGGACCAGTTGACTAAAACTGTTAGTTTCTACCGCTGGTGCGTCAACTGTGTATGGTAAGAAAGCCTACGGTGACTCAGTTTGTGAATGTCAACAACCAATTGGTGAAGACAACTTGCATGAGTCAGAGAGTTCTCCTTCAAGACAACATCATTCAACACAACATCATTCAGCCAGCTCATGCAACTGCTTTATCGTCGAATCACCTCGAACATGTTCAAACTGTTATTCCAATGGTTTTAATGCAGGAAACATACTCTCCAGGTTTTAATGTAAATAAATATAAATATTTTTCCTTCTCATACACTGTAACTCATAAGGAAAGAAGCCTAACAAAAACATAACAAATATATAGAGATTTCTGGGGAATTCTGTCATTTGATGAGCTAGTGCTTCTACATGGGACAGAGCAGGCTTCACATGTTGTACCGTTGTCGGGATCTGTCATCCAAATAGTTGACTGTTTTCTTCACAGACCAAGCTAGACACCACACACAGGAATCACTAGGGGGAGGTGATGCTAGGCTTGCCTCACTGCTGCTAAATGCACTGATAGTAGTTTCACTGGCTGGTTGTAACGAGACCATATAGACAATCTTAGTCACTTTGGTTCAAAAACATAAAGATTAGATCTCATGTTCTTTTCAGAGAAATTAATTACTTAACCAGCATGTACTTTTCAGCCTGATCCAACATTCAACATATGGTTGTCACACTACATCAATGCCCAATGTCACTGTTACCATGGTTACTGTCTATTTACACATGTCAATTTGATGCCATGTCAACACACTATATACAGATAATCTGAGTGTTCCTTCTGCAGGAATCAGTTCTGTGGGAGACATGTTTTTGTCCAGAAATGGCAACACACAGCATCCATGCAACACTTGACCAGTGCTTGATGCTGACTCCATGATATCCATGGCAACACTGAGCTACCATAACTACAAGCTGGACTCATTCGCAGACATTCACAAAGTCGAACACACTAACATGCCAACAGCCAGCAATACTGTTCGGTTATGTATCTTCAATGTAGATATGCCATTTTGTTCTGATGTGGACACTGATTGTCTGCAAGGTTGGACAAAGGGAGGTAACTCATCTGGACATTTTTCCCACCACTGGCTTGGTGGGAATGTCGTTCCTCGTAATGATGCGACTAGGTAATGGCCACCAGAGTCATGTGTTATGTTTGACACACCTCCTGAAACTGTATTGTCTGTATGGGGATATCAGAACTAGGCGCTGAGATTCTGTGCTCAATTTGTCCATTTCGTTGGTGACCGTATTCAAATTTGATCCTGAGCTCACCAATCCGAGACCGTGGTAAAATGTCTGGTATCCATTCGATTATGAAAGGAGTGGGGTCTTTGTTCTCCCCACTGATATTACCTGTAAACAAAGCAGAACATGAATGGATGGTATTTCATGCAAACAGGTAATTTGTTGTACAGTCATCAAAATAAACGTTACTGGAGTCTTTTGCGGAGTCTCACATGAAAAGTATTTTGTTTTTGCATGTAGTCCTTAATTGAAGCATCAGTAATATATAATTCAAGGATCTCATTGTCCAGGTTACCACCTGCCATTTTGTCACTCACTAAGCAAGTTTAAATAAAATGTCCTTGTGAAGTTCCAGGTTAGAATAGGTCTTCAGCAGCCTATGCTCGTTGTAAGAAGCGACAAGATCGGGTCGTCAGACTTGGAGACTTGGTTGATGCATGTCACCGATTCCCAGGTACATAGATCAATGCTCATGATGCCAATCACTGGATTGTCCTGTCCAGACTAGATTATTTCCATTTTTGCTGTTTTCTCAAAGACTTTCCTGTGGCACCTTTTTCCTTTTGTATCACAACTCACTCAGCAATATGACACTTATCTGACATCCGCATCTAAATATTGGAGTCCGGACCAGACAAACCAGTGATTGATATTATAAGCAGCATCACATGCCACTGAGGTTCAATGAACACAATCAACGAGTCTGACCACCCAACTTACATAGTGACTGCCAGCAGAGGCTGCTGGAGACCTGTTCTAACCTGGCATCCCCAGTTTTTTCCTGTGTCAGTGGTCATGTTGGCAAATATGTTGCCATACCAGTCATATAGCTGGCACAGTTGATGTACAGCTGACCTGGAGACTTACCAACTTTGAGAAAGGTTTTCAGTTCAAATGGCCTGATAGGTGTCTGTGTTTTCCCCTTGAAAGAATCATCAATGTTTTCCACCTGCACTTTGGGTATCTCGTACAGATCAAACGTCCCATCCCTGTTCTCTACAAAGTTCCTCGTAATCTCTAGAGGCATCTGTAAAATATCGTCATAAATACTAAAATCTTAACCATTTTACAAAAAACTATGTCTCTCTTTAGAATTGTTTTAAAGCTTAGGCCCTTCCTTCAAGAAAAACAAAGAAGACAAACATCCTGGTTAATGAACTCTCTTAATACACGCGTGTGAGTGAGCTATGTTGTAACCCTGCCTTCAACGCTGTACACATTTCAAGTTGTAACGTGTTATCGCAATCATTGTGTATCAAACATTTGTAGTGGGAAAGATCCCAGGGACGCAGGTAACAGACGTAATCACTTGGGCTTGATGACCTCGTTAACAGGTATGAATCTGGACTTTAAAACCACGATTAGCGTATCCTGCTTTGACAAAGGGAGACAACTCGAGATGATGAACAGTGAATTATGGAATTTGGCCATCATCCCTTACTTTAGGCACAGAAACAAATAACTATTGTCTCAAAAGAAATTGAATCTGGCATGTGCCCTGACGACAAGAAATAGGCAAGAATGTCTATGACTTACTTCTGGAGTGTCAAATATCTGCTTGACATGGAGTATATTTGTGATATGCCAGGTGTACTTGGTGAAGGTGCCCAGTGGGAGGGCGTCCTTCCTTACAAAGCCGGTCGTGTAGTTGGGCAAACGTTTCTTGCGACTTCCAGCTGAGATTCTTTGTTGGAGACAGTCGAAGAACACTTGAGGTGCATGGAACACAAGGGGTTCCGGGTTACCTGAGGACAAGCATAATGTTGAGAGATATAAATATTGTGTAAATTCAGAGGTTGATATAACTGCTGGCATGTTGGCTTGTGGCCAGGTAAGATTAAAAAGGGCCTGCTAAAACGTAACGTAGATGACCAGTCTGGTGAGTCAATATTTCACCCCTTCTCCGTGTTTGTTAAATTCTTTTTAATTGGATCAACTTGGTAGAATGACAACCGGCCCCCATTTTGTAATGTTGTGTATTTTATTTGCTACTTTGGTGAAACCCACCAGCAAGGGTATGGTGCTGACAAACCTAAAAACATAATCAACACAAACCAGGATTCGAACTTGTGGTCATAAGTTTCAGGCGAGCCCAAGGGACACAACTCTGCACATCAAATTGTGGCACCTCAAACGACTGGGCGACCCATACCCCGCTACCCCAAAAAAGGTACAATCACAATACAGTGGTAGAGTGAATGTGAAATTGTGTGGTTTCAATGTCGCTTTCGTCAATATTTCAGTTACTACCAATATGGTTACAAATAACCGAGTTAATAAAACCTGTTATACACTAGGGCAGATATCACACCGGTATATTGTTTACATCATCTGGACAGCATTGTTGACATCATTCAAATCGTATTGTGATGAAAGGTCGAAATGACGTCACACCAGAAATGATGTCATAGTTGAAGAATTGTTGACGTCACATTTGACTATTGTGGTTTTCTAAGATGACGGTTGTGATCAGTGTATTTTTCGCTCTTTATCAGGAAATACAAGAATTCTGACATTTGTTTTGTAAAATCAGTATGACAGCGCTCGTATAATAATCTCTCTATACAGCATAATCTGGGGAAGGTTTCTGGCACGCCAAAGCGAATTCCGGTGCCTAGGATGACTGGTCCCCCTACAGTGGTTCAAGTAACATTACCATCGAACTGGTAGTGCATGGTCTGGTTGATCCTCTCCGTGACACTGGCCAGCCACTGGTGCCAGGTGATGATTGTCTGAGTCTCATCCAGGAATGGGGTCTGGACTGGAACAGCAACACAACTCAATGAATGCTCCCTAGCAAGATACTACAATGTCTATCACAAGCCATAATATAATCAATACAGAACTGTTTACATTTAATAAGTGTTATAATCAGAATGGTCAGGCATTTGGAAACTTAGGAAAGGATTGGTGAAACGACATTCGAATAAACTTGGCTAACTGAAAGTAATCCTAATACTTTCCAAGAATATGATTGGTAAATCCACCACATTCCCTCGATATCATGTCCTACTGCAACATGCATGTTATGCCCACCTGGTTTCTTGGGAGTGGTGACAATAGTCTTGACAGTTTGCTGGGTCTGCTGTTTGACAGGACTGGCTTTCTTTGGTGCAGGCGTCCCCTCCTGTAGTGTGAGCAGTGCACTGCTGGCTTGAGCTGAAAGTACACCAGTCTTCGGTAAATATGAGGCCCATGCAGAAAATGTTTAGTATACCTTATGGGACCTGGCAATCGATTGTTCCATTTCATCACTGTTCATATCTGATGAAATTCTAGATAATTTATTCTTTATAATAATCAATCTCCTTGGTTTGTGCAAGGTTCACTTACCCAGAGTGTCATCTTTCTTCTTCTTCTTGGCGGATGTCGGACCAAGAATATCTTCCTCTGTGACGATGACCTCCAGTGTGCTGGGGTCAGTAGTAGTCAGCGTGGAGCCGTCAGCTGTCTGATAGATTGTGAGCACCTGCCGCTCAGTCACGCTGACACTCGGCGTTATCGTGGATACTGAAACCAGGTCTCAGCATGACAAGCAAACAAAATCATGGGACTATCTCACAAAACCATCACTCATTAAAACAAGCATGTAATCCCCCGCCAATATGACATGTCGGGTTGTAGGCATCAGCCTTCCGGAAACGAGCACCACCGCCATTTTCAATCAAAGTCAAAGTCGTTGCCGTGGAAACTCGAAAAATATATTTTTTAAAAATCCCAAACTATCAAAAGGCCCCAGTTCACCAAAAGACCTATCTACATGATCTATGTGCCAAGTTTGGTTGAGATATCTCTCATGTTTTTTTTAGATCTGCTCCAGAAATGAAAAGTGACGGAAGGACTTCATGGTGGGGGTCAATAAATCATGTGATGTTGCTTGTATAGATAATATTAAAGTACCAAATCATCAAACAGGTATGCAGTTGCTAAATACTTCCACGCACAATTTTCACTTCATTACATCCAAAACAAACAGAAAAGATATTACCTGTTTGTATATCATGGTATATGAAGGAGAGAAAATCATTACTGGTATGAGTGAGAGAGTTGGTATTAACGCCGCTTTGAACAGTATTCCAGTTACAATTTATATCATGTTGTGTTATGTTATTGTGGGAGGAAAGCCCGAAGTTATGCAAGTCTGACATTTACCACTTCGGTAAAACCAAAGAGCATGGGTATGGTGACATGTTAGAAACATAATGAGGGTGAAATCGGGGTCGAACCCACTATCATGGGTTTTTGGTGTGCCCAAGGGACACAACTCTGCACAGCAACACCATACGCAACTGAAGCATGATGAAGATGAATCGATAACTTTACATCTGAACATAATGAGCACTGATGAAGCTAACAAAAACACCAATTTTCCCGTTTAACTACCGATGAATGCAGACAAAAACTTACAGGCGTTGTCCAAGTTGACATAATGCTCAAATTCTTCTGCCAGTTTATCATCACTAGCAAATGCACAGATACAGGCATAAAAGTGGACACACCGCTTCATCGTGTCATCCTTTGGTGCACCCGGTTTGAAATTCTGAAAGCATTTAGAAATAACATCCTATATTTTATAATGGAGAAGGGTGAGTATTCTGAAAAATGAACTGTTTTAACTGAACAAGTTATGGCTAAACAGCGCAAGTGTAGAATCTGTTCGCCATACAATAGTCCTGATACTCATGACAGTATCATAAAAAGTAGATATATCTCCAGAAACATTATTTTTGTATGGCTTTACTGATCTTGGATACCTCATTGATGCTAGAGAGTTACTTGTGTTATGGTCAGTAGGTTACCCCCAACTCTATCCCTAGCCCTTGGATCCTTGAATAAAAATACTGGCAAACAGAAACTATAGCGGCTCCAGACATCTTATATCATCATGAATATTTTATATTTCTCCTATCATCATGATTGTGTTACTCACGTCAGTGACACCTTTTACCATGTTTACTGTTACAAAACAAACAAGAAAACAGCGTTGGCACATTAGAATTTTGCTTGTTCATAAAGTAGTGAATATAAACTATAGAAAAGAGTCCTATAAAGCGGTAAGATTATGCTTTATGTGCTTTATGTCATCAGTAAGAATGATTAAATGTGAAAATACACACAAAAGGCCCCGTCTCTGGAATAAATAAGTCAGTCTTGGTAAATATCCCTTAGGTAAGTAGTTTCTTAGAAAACTTGTCCACATTGCATACACTATGCACTGAGTTAGATAAAATTACTCTGTAAAAAAATAATTGACGGGGCCAATTTTCGAATTCAGTATAGATAAGTATCCCTAAGATAAGCAAGCATGCAAACTTTCGTTCATTTAACTTTTGTCATGTTTGTAGTTTCTGAGAAAACGTCCCCATTTCTAACTGTATGTATGAAGTTGAAAAAGCATGGAGCAAGGGCCATAACTCTGTAAAAGATGACTTTATGACACCAGTTTTGTAACTAATTTGAGGTCATGACCACTAAAATCAGTGTGTAAAATTTAATTTCTCTGACTTATACTGTTTATTAGAAAATTTGTCCCCTTTGAGAAGTGGACAGACGGAAGGATGAACTCCAGGTCTATATATTAACTGTAATCCCTCATGGGTTCAATTCTTACCTTAAATATCTTACAGCTACATTGAAACTTGTAGTCTGGTGCGTTTCTGTTTCTTGAGGTCTCAAAGAAAGCAAAATGAAGGAAGCCTAGTGGTTGTTTCGGGTTAGGTTTGCACTTGACTACCATGATATTCTTCGTGACTCTCTGTACAAGGGGACCTGTTGTCTCTGTAGCCAGAAGCCAGATCGCCTGCTTTGTTTCATTTGAGACTTGAAGGGAATTGAGTACAGAGTTCTTTAGGGTGAGGGGCTGAGCTTCTGCTGTGCATTCTATGGCAGCCTTGATGTGAGCACAAGGTTGATCTTGTTGGATATTAATCTGGTTTGTATTCCGACTACACGTGTCCACATAGCACCTTGCAGCTGTAGCGAGCACTGAGGGGTCTACCATTGTGGCTGGATTCCCATCCAGATCTTGAACTAGTGGTAGTTGTACAAACCCTCTATAGTCAGGTCCTCGATCACGAAGTCGCACTGAGAAAACCTGCACTGTAGAACCAGTGATGATTTTGACTGCATCAGCGCTGTGGCCACGCTTCCTTTCCTTCTCCTTGAACACAACATCACAAGCCTTGTTCTTGCAGCTAATCCCCCTTGTGCCATTATAGGTACCACATTTAGGACACTTACGAACACCTCGTAAAGTCGGTTTTCCTAGATCTTCAAATAAAAGTTTGATCTTTTCCTGAGATGCCATAGTTTAACAGCCACCTGAAAAGGAAATTTTCATTTTTGTAATATGTAATGTAAAAAGGTTGTGGTAACTTGCAAAACAATTTCATAATTAGGCTTGACGTATTGGCACCTAAATCATATTTCAATATATTGCAATACGGACAGCAGTATTGCGATACATAATGCAATATGTATTGGGGCCCAAATCATATATATTTGTACTGATCAAAAGGCATTTCCTCATTCAATAATCCATAATTCAGATTGAAAGATGGTTAGTATGGATAAACAAGACTATATATTATGTCATCAATATGGAATGTTATGTAAACAGTGTAAAGCGTGTGCTGTTTACATGGTTTAGATAGGAACCCAGTCCATCCAAATGCCTCAAGATAGTAGATATAATTTACATAATTATCTATCAATTCTTATGTGACTGTATTGGAAAAAATCAATACGCAAGGGTTGTTGGGTTGTTGTCATCCCATATGTATATTGCTGATGGATGTATTGCAATATACCGGTATACCAGTTATATTGCAACCCCTATTCATAATCCAATCTCATTAAAATCAAATCTTAGGTATCACTACCGCCAAAGATCTGAGGACATCCCATTACAGGTCATGTCAGAAAGACCTTTCATCCGACCAATTGGAGCATTGCTTACCAGATCAGGTAAGTGACAGTTGGAATTTGTTTTTTAATCTTGCAACCTCGGAGGGGTATTCCGAACGACAGTTACAGTCTTTAGGACTGAATTTATTCAATCTAGGCTATCATTAGCAGTTCCAAAATTTTCAGTTTTCAAATTTTTAATCGAGAATTTGTCAAAATATATTTCGAAGTGTAGTCGCTAGTTTGGAACTAGTGCCGTAAAGCAAGAGAAAGCTGCCCTCTGATTTGCTAATGTTGACTTCTTGTCAGTCAATCCATTAGTCGGTCAATGTTTGCAAAAGGTCGGTCTGACGTGATCTGTAATGGGATGTCCTCAGGTCTTTGTTTAGCGGTAGCGAGAACAAAGATCTGATTTTAATTAGATTGATTCATAATCATGCACCCGTGAAGTTCCGGGGTAAAATAGGTCTTCAGCAACCCATGCTTGCCGTAAAAGGCGACTATGCTTGTCGTAAGAGGCGACTAACAGGATCGGGTGGTCAGGCTCTCTGAGTGGGTTGATGCATGTCATCGATCCCAATTGCGTGGATCGATGCTCGTGATATTAATCACTGATTGTCTGGTCCAGACTCGATTATTTACGGACCGCCGTCATATAGCTGGAATAGTGCTGAGTGCGGTGTTAAACAACAAACCAACCATAATCATGCCTTTTGTCACAATAACTTAAAACCAAAATTGAAAGTCAAAACAAACATTGTCAAATAATGACATTTACACATGTTTACAAGACAGAACCGTACATTTCTCAATGCAATACACATTGAATGATACAGCCAAGAGCTTTTCTGTGATGGGATATCAGTGGGTGAGCTGTGATAATACATCATGTACATTGAACAGTATTTCAGCTAAATGTATATGTAAAACTTGAAGTGATGCAGTGTGGACAATGATGGAGGGGGTTGTCTTGAGGTTGGGTGAATGTGGAGACTGATCATGCTGATGCTGCAGGGTTTCACTTTCAGAAAGGCTTTTTTCAAGGACACTGACTGAATATAATCCCACGTCCTAACAATTCTTTTTATATTTTGCCTTCAATGCAGTACACTGGATAGCTTCTGCCATTTTGTTAAGTGGTGTCTGGTGAGGTTTTCAAAGTTTTTCAGCCGGCATTTTTAGCTGTCTTGCTTAGTTAACGGGGTCATTGTCATAAAAGCTTTCGTAAGAACGTGTCATTTTTAGTCACTAAAGTTAATAAAAAATGCTACATGTTTGTTGAAATGGGGCCCCAATGCATGTGTTTATATGTTGATGTCTTAGTTTCGTGGTTCAATCATATCCAACCAAACAAATGCAAGTGGGGGTGTTGCAGGTCCCTATATTAGAAGCAGTAAACAAATATGTCAGACTGGTTTCCAGTATGATGCAAGTCTACCCAAATTTGTAATTACATTAAATTTTGATATAATCATGAATATAACATAATGCTTTTTGTCTGTAGCAAAATCACTGTGCTTAAATATATCCTACTGTAAACCAGGATTTAAGGAATAAAGGAATAATGAACTGTCTACCTGACTGTGTAGATTGTAGCATTGACCAAATGGCTATTCTTAAATTTGAACACAAAAATAACATGTTTACAGTCTGTCACAGACCATGGCAGCTTGGTAAGAGTAACATTACTCCTATCATGTCTATAGGACTGGTTTGTATGTGTATTGCTAAACCCCGCACTCAGCAATATTCCAGCTATATGACGTCCTATACTTGTATACTAGTACTAATACCATTACATTTTTATGTAGGGACCTAATATTCTTCCAAAATTGATTTAGGAATCATTATTTGTCTTATGGCAGGGCTTATAGAAGTTGTGTAGAAGGTACATAAGGGTGTTTCATGTTGGATAAAACTTAAGCCAAGTCTGGTAATCAAAGTGAGCGATTGTGAGTATGGTTTTTACGCCGCTTTTAGCAATATTCCAGCAATATCACGGTGGGGGACACCAGAAATGGGCTTCACATATTGTACCCATGTCAGGAACCGAACCCGGGTCTTCGGCGTGACGAGCGAACGCTTTAACCACTAGCCTACCCGACCGCCCCTGGTAATCAAAGGGAATGACCAGTATTTAAGAATAGTCACTAATTGTCTATCTAAAATATGCTTCGAGATATATTGAAACAGCAGCAAGGGCTATTTTGTATCACTGTATCTTAAGAGCTTCTTGCGACTGTCGTTCACCAAGTCGTGTGTGGCGGGAAGTAAACAATATTTCGGTTGACTGACCGTTAGTTTTTACAAAATAATTAAAAAAAAATTATTATTTGTGCACTTCCGCTCCGATACCAAGGCTCTCAACCTAACATACTAATACAACGAGACTTATGTACACGATGATCACTACGAATGGAATGCTCGGTACTACAAATAACCAAAATGCGTATTTATTGACTTTGGTCGTGTTTGTTACTCGCATAATGCGCCAAAATCCGAGGCTCTAAGTAAGCGTTCTATGGAAGTGATGGATAGAGTAATCAGATATCTAAATACTCACGAACTATTAACACAGATTAGTTGGAAAAATAAACTCCAAAAACGGATGAACTGAGTCCATGTCTCCAGTCAAACTAAATCTTTGTGATGGGTAGCCATATTGGCTCCTTCCTCGAAGAAATGAAATGTCGCGGCTTCTCATTGGTTGAATTTGAGCACATGATATGAAGTCGTCATTGATTGGCTAGGGATAAATGCAAGGGAGCATTTGTTGATAGCCGTAATGATTTTTGACGTTTTTGAATGCTGATTGTTTATTTACCACATTCACTTACCCACGTCTACATTATACTTATATTTAATATTTTTTTCACAAATCGTTTATGAATTAATTCAAATTACGTTCACACAACACAACGTTATTCATTTACACCGACGTACCTCGACGCCTTAATTCATATTTATATGCATATATGCAAATGTTTCATTAAGATAACTAATCCCCTTAATAATGCTAATTAACCATTGAAATGATAGTTTATGTTTCTAGTGAACTTGTTTCAAGTTAGTTTTGAAGCTGTTTAGAAACAAAGGGAATGAAATGGGTGAACATGTCATTTGGATTGAACAATTGTACAGTGAGTGAGTCTTAGTGTCGCTTTGAACAGTTTCCACTTTATCATGGCGTGTCAGTGTAATGTGGGAGGAAAGCCCGAAATGATATGTGTATTAGACGTTTACCCATTTTAATGTTGCTGACAAACCGAGAAACACAGTAAAATCAGGGAATAGCGGCGTCTTAGACGACTGGGTCACCCGTTCCCCAGGATTAAAACGTTAAATATATGAATAGTTTGTAGTTTAGTCAACAATGTTCCAGCTGTATCACAGAGGCCTGCATAATCGGTTCCGGTTCCACACCGTCGGGCAATGATGACTCGCACTCAGCCAAGTCACCCAGCCTGGCCATGCACCTTATCCTGTTTAGTCTCCGACAAATAATATAAGGTGCTGGGGACCAAGTCCAACTCGGGTCCGTAAAGGTGAAATATATTATATGTTTCATTAAATATATTTATGGAAATATATATAACGAACTCAAAAACATGTAGACCTACCTGGCCAATAGGATCACAGTTAAGTTATCAATCCAATACACTTGTTTATTTCAATTATCAAATAGATTTCTATAAAATATTGAGTTAAAAGTACGTTTATGAGTGATCCGCTGAGACCGACCTTGCCGAGATTCGTTTGTCACCAACTTTGGGTTTCACCAAAGTGGTAAACGTCTGAGACCTGCATCACTTCGGGCTTTCCTCCCATATCAGGCTGGCACGGCTTGATATAACTGGAATACTGTTCAACGCGGCGTTAAACCATACACACTCACTCACTCACTCACTCATGTTAGTTATCATGTAACCGCAGAGGTACACGGGTGGCCCAGTCATCGATGGGGTGGTCCACTATCCAACAGATGTTTCTCTATCGCCCTGGTATTCATCCATCGAGAAGGTGTTCCTCTGTATACAGAGCTGGCGTCTTCTGTAACTGCTGTTCCTCTATGGACCGGTGGTTCCCCTACGACAACGTCCCCGTTATAACACTACACCATCTAATTCAAATTGTAGCGTCCCGTGAATATCCGGGGTAGAATAGGTCTTCAGAAACCCATGCTTGCCGTAAAAGGCGACTAACGGGATTGGGTGGTCAGGCTCGCTGACTTGGTTGATGCATGTCATCGATCCTAATTGCGTGGATCGATGCTCATGCCAAGACTCGATTACTTACAGACCGCCGTCATAAAGCTGGAATATTGCTGAGTGCGGCGTTAAACAACAAACAAACAAATCAAATCAAATTGTAGCTCACCTGATTGAATGTCATGGCCTTTTTGTCCGCCTTGGCAGCCATATTGAAAACCCAATTTTCGGCCATTTCCGCTCAAAATGTAATGGAATTCGGAACATGTTTTCTCTAGCTGTAGGATTCAACATTTATATGTTGCGTTTTCCCCCCTCGTTTATCCCCAATGGTGGCACCCGATATGTTCAAGAGCCTGGAATACAATTTTAATTTGGCCGCCAAAAGGTAATGAAACTTGGTATTCGCTGCGTTTGTTCTTTGTTTTTCAATATATGTATAGCGTGGACCTTATTCAGACAGTGATACTGTCGGACAATGTATTTATACCCTGAGCTTATACGATTATGGAAAAGATTTTTGTTGCTTTTCTTTTCAAAACCTTTTAAAGACATGACGTAACATGCTAATAATTCTAAACTATGTTTTATGTATAAACTGTCCAAGTCAGAATAGGAACATTTGCTGTATCCTTTTATTGATATTACAACAATTGTATTGCTCTATTTCATTATGCATGATCCCTGGTGTTTGTGGATGATGCGTCAGTTAATAAACAGTTACTTTTTCATGCAAATGTTTTGAGTGGCAGGTGCTATGGGCAGACCAGGACATGCTTACCCTTTTGGCGGGCACCTGGAGTCAGCACCAGTGATCCAATCACATTATAATAAACTACGGTTATAACGAACTCGAAGGGACCACTAATTTTTGTTCGTAATAACCGTAGTTCGCATATGAGCATATATACAGCATTTATACAACAAAGGGTCGGGACAAAAAGTAGGTTTGTTATATCGGTCAGTTCGTTATAAGCGTATTCGTTATAAACGTAGTTTACTTAATATTTTCATCTCTATTTTGCTGATGGTTTAACAATACTTATGTACACTCCAGCACAAACAGTTCATTTTCTTACAGACAATTTATACGCTAATGTACAGATTTTCAGTAGACATTGATTTAGTATTAAATCCTATAGTTTGGACAGCACTCTTGATTACATTGTATTTTACGGCATTTGTAAGCAACTCTTAGGTTTTTAGTTTCTCCTTGTTCCTTATGTAATGGTAAGATATCGCCGACACTGTTCACTTTGGAATGTATTCTTGTTTAATAATACGAGCTCGTAGCGATTAATACCCAGCTAACAATTTCACGTTGTGACAACGTTGTGATAACGTTGTGGTAACGTTGCGGATGTTACGTCCTTATATAATAACGTTATTCTGTGGACTCCCATTTATGTTGTCACAACGTCATGGCCTAACGTTGTGTTACGTCATATTCACGTAGTGACAACGTTGTGATGACGTTGTATTTGACGTTGTGGGAATGTTGTATTTTTACGTTGAGGGAACGTTGTATTTGACGTTGTGGTAATGTTGTATTTTACGTTGGGGCAATGTTATAATAATGCGTACCTACAACGTTATTCTGTGTACTACCATGGACGTTGTCACAACGACGTGAAATAACTGCTACCAGGATGAAATACGTTGTGAACACTCCCCACTAAAATGTTGTAAAACAACCCAAAAACATGTTCCGGAAATGTTTTAGAATATGCTTTAGTCACGTGAATGTGTATGATTCGAGACACCTTTTACCAATGTTTTCAAACCAGGGCGTCGAATAGCCCAGTTAACAGTTAGATCTTGTTTTGTTGACAATGTTCAAAAAGTAAAAACACCACTGAGCTGTTAACTAGATACATATGACTATAACAAAGGCAGACACCATTACCCTTTAGGCAAGTACTGCAGGAAACAAAATAAGAATGGCAGACATTGAAAGGTGTTGACCATATGATATTTTCTGGGGCGGGTCGGGTCCTGGAATTTTATCGAAAAAATATATTGTCACAGAAAATTCTTGACAAAAATAATTCCGGTTCAGACTGGTGGAAAAAAATGCCTGCCACAAAAAATGGCATAGATCTAGTTGCAAGGTGCTTATCTTCAGGCTCATAGAGTTAAATAAAATCATATATGATTATCTGATTTTGTAGCTGTGACCGACAATATATGTAATCTCCATAGAAAAGTTCCAGGTCCCCACCTCCTTGAATATCAAATGGTCGGTCTCTAATCAAGTCCATATAGTATTCTTCAACTTTCAGTCATGCGACGTCACCATTCAACAAAGAACTCCAAGAAACATTTGTGTTGACATTTTAATATTTTTAGATAATTGAAAATTTATACACTTTTCGAAATTATTGAATGCCAGAATCTTCTTTCTTTGATGTTCACTTCCACTTCCCTGAAATACAAACAGCTTACTAAATCTCGAGCAGGTATTTGAAAGATACTATATGACGAGAAACATTCATTTGGAGTAGGGCTGTTACGATTCACTCGCGTATTCGGTGAATCGAACCGTAACCATTCGTGAATTGAATTCGTTATTCAAGGCCACTAGAATCGAATATTTATGAATATGCTATCATGTATATTTACATACCCTGTACCTAAAAATATCCATAACAACATATTATATGCATAGATTCTTTCAATGACAACACTCTAATAATATTTAATTTGATAGTATTGTTTTCACTGGTCATTGTCGCATTTGAGCAGATACTAGTACCTGGATAAGTCCAGTATATAAATGTATAATTCATTAATAATTAACAAACCATGGCAAATAAATTATGTTGTTATTGTTTCACTGAATATAATAAATAATACATAAACTTCTGACTTGTTATTGTAATTGTTAATTAATATTCGTATTCGTTACCCTATATTCGTGATATGAATCGTATTCGCCTCATAGTGTATTCGTTGCAGCCCTAATTTAGAGATAAAGCTTTAATAATATTCAAACAATAATGTATAATGCAAGTGTCTGATGGAAACAAATTTTAACATTCATTCAGAGACATCAAGGATCAGGTTGAATACAAAACGTGGTACGAGCATAGATTTATATAAATAGATCTACATTCTTAGCATTCATTTAAAGCAAAAAAACCAAAAACAATTAACATGGATATAGACAATGGAATGTAACTGTAAACAATTGTACTTACGTTAACATAACTCACAGCCCAGGGTTTATTTGGTGTGTTCCTCAATGATTCAACATTCTTGATTTTATCTCCTGGAATGGTCGTGTAACATTTTCCCCCTTGCTACAACGAAAACATATAAAAAAGTCAAAACTAGAACTATATTCAATAAGCATACATTTAAATCTATAGTCTATCCAAAAAGATAACATACATTGTATAATTGCCTAAAATTTAGGAAAAACTGTAAATCCATGTATTAGCGTCCGATCGGAAATATCTCAGGCTACAGATATAAGAAACAAAA